GCCATTCATCAAAGGCCCTGGTGTCTTTCAGTGGAGAGTGGCACTGAGAAGCTAGATTGGGCTGCTAAGTGTGCTCGTTGCTCTAGGGGTGTGCTCCTCCCAGGCCTTCTCAGTAAACAGAGCTAGGACACACGTGTGTTTACCAATGCCTTCCATTCTAACCAAACACCACAGTTTCTGTGCTTCCATCTTTCCACACTTGTGACTCCTCTATCCAACAGAGAGAAATCTGGATCCCATTATAGTTAAAATGCTTTCTTCTTCAATCTATTCCCCCTGTAAGGAACCGATTTCCCATCCCTGTTGCTGTCCCTGCAGCATGTTGATGGCCTCCTCATCTGGCTTGGGCTCTGATACCCTCCACTGGGCCACCCTTATCTGTGGACATCTTGTTTCCCCACACAGGCTCTGTAAAAGGTGCAACATTTACACCCATGTAGATTCCTCAGCCTCTCACACCCCATGACAGTCTGCTCTCCCCTGTTTGGATGGCCCGACTTGCTCAGGCTCCGACTCCCTACCACAAGCCATCCCTCTCCATGGATGCCTACCTTCCTCTGCCTTACCTAATGGCTTCAGGAAGGGGAAGGCTGCTTCTAAAAATCTTTATATTTTGGCGCAGTTACTCAGATATTTTTTAAAGAAATAATGATTGCTAATGCTCCTGGTGCTTACTAGGTGCTAGGCATTATAGACACTTTAAACTGAGCTTGCATAATCTTCACAGCCTTTGTAGGAAGTTGTATCATTATAAACTATATTCATCGGTGCGGACATTGAGGCACAGAGAAATTTAGTGACTTATCCAAGGTCACATTGCTCAGGAGTGATGGAACTAGGACTTGGAGTCGAGATTTATCCATATTTCATGTATAGCTTTAGTTTATTCTTTTACATTGCTGTACAGAATAATATTGTGTGAATATACCTCAAATTAATTATCTATATTCTTTTTTTTTTTTTAAGATTTGGTCTTGCTCTTGTCTGCCAGGCTGGCATGTAATGGTGCAATATGGGCTCACTGCAACTTCTGCTTTCCAGGTTCAAGTGATTCTCCTGCCTCAGCCTCCCAAGTAGCTGGGATTATAGGCATGAGCCACCATGTCTGGCTAATTTTTATATTTTTAGTAGAGATGGAATTTCACCATGTTGACCAGGCTGGTCTCAAACTCCTGACCTCAGGAGATCCACCCGCCTTGGCCTCCCAGAGCGCTGGGATTATAGGCATGGGCCGCACTGCCCAGCCTAATTATCTATATTGCTGTTGGTGAACTTTTAGTTTTACAATTTTTCACTATTAAAAGCATTTAGAATAAACATTTTTTTGTCCCTTTATGCAATTGTATGAGTTTCTTTAAAATATGTATCTAACAGAAGAATAAGCTATGTGCATCTTCAACTTTATTAGATAGAGCCAAATTTCTCTTCCAAAATAATTTTAAGAGATTACATTCCAACCAGGGGTGAATGAGTTTATATTTTTTCACTTTCTTCCCAATGTCCAGTATTGTCAGACTTTTGAAATTTTTTAGTATGATAGGTGTAAATATTCATTAATTTTCTAATTTATATGCTTCTGTTTAATAGCAGAATTAAGAGTCTTTTTGCAAATATACAGGATTTGGTGTTTTCTCTTTTGCAAATTATTTGTTTATATAATTTGTCAATTTTCTTACTGAACCTATATTTTTCTTACTGATTCTGAGGAGTTTTTATATGAGAACAAATCTTTTATTTGGTTTTAAACAATTTTCCCTCTTATGTGACTTGTCTTTTCATTTAGTAGATGGTGATTTGTACAGAAGATTATAATTTTAAGTCAATCAAATTGATTGCTCTTTTATAGCTTAAATTTTCCCCATATTGTTTAAAAATTTATTCCCTACACAAAAGGCATAAAGATAAATCTATATTTTCTTCTAAAAGTTTTAAAGTTTTGCTTTTGAAACATTGAGGTGTCTGTTCCACCTGAAATTTATTTTTGTGAATGTTATGAGGTAAATAATCTAATTTTATTTTTTTCCATATGGATACCAAATTGTCACTGTTTCATTTATTTAGAAGTCCATCCTTTCCCTGTTGGTTTAAGAATGCCATCTCCGTTGTTTATCAAGTTTCTACATATGTGTGACTCTGTTTCTGGGTTCTCTAATCTGTTTCGCTCTTAATTACGTTTTATAACTAGTCTTCATATTTTGTAAGGCAAAATTCCCTTCCCTGCCATGGCTGGCTTTGGCTGTTTGCATTTCCATATTATTTTACAATCAGCTTGTCAAACTTTTTTGTTTCTTAGGAGTTTTGCTCTGTCGCCCAGGCTGGAGTGCAATGGTACGATCTCAGCTCTCTGCAACCTCTGCCTCCCTGGTTCAAGCGAGTCTCCTGTCTCAGTTTCCCAAGTAGCTAGGACTACAGGTGTGTACCACCATGCCCAGCTAAGTTTTGTATTTTTTAGTAGAGACAGGATTTCACTATACATTGACCAGGCTGGTCCTGAACTTGTGACATCAAGTGATCCACCTGCCTCGGCCTCCCAAAGTGCTGGGATTACAGGTGCGAGCCACCACACCCAGCCTGTTTCTTAGCTTCTTACAACTGTATTGAAGTATAATTGGTGGACAAAAACGGAACATTTTTAACATGCAAGATTTGATAAGTTTTGACATTAATATATACCTATAAAATCGTTAGCACAGGCTGGGTGTGGTGGCTCACGCCTGTAATCCCAGCACTTTGGGAGGCCAAGGAGAGCGGATCACGAGCTGGAGAGATCTACACCATCCTTGCCAACATGGCGAAACCCCGTCTCTACTAAAAATATAAAAATTAGCTGGGCTGGTGCGCATGAGCCTATAATCCCAGCTACTTGGGAGGCTGAGGCAGGAAAATCGCTTGAATTTGGGAGGCAGAGGTTGCAGTGAGCTGAGATTTCGCCATTGCACTCCAGCCTGGAACAGAGCTAGACTCCGTCTCAAAAAAAAATCATCAGTAGAGTCATGTAAATGACCATACCTCTGGCAGACAGACTATAAGAAGGCCCCCAATTGTCCCTGCCACCTACTATCCATGTCCTGTGAACCCCATTGTGTAAGCAGGACCCATGGTTTGTTTCTATTCAAAAGAATAAATCACTGCTGTGATTGTGATATGTAGGAGTGTAATTTCCATCTTGCCAGTAGACTCTCTCCTTTGCTGGCTTCGATGCAGCAAACTGTGTACTGCGTGCTGTAAGCAATGTTAGGGGGATGCTCACATGGCAAAGAACTGAGAGTGGTCCCCCGGCCAATAGCCAGTGAGAAACTGAGGCTCTCAGTCCAACAGCCCCCAAGGAACTGCACCCTGCCAACCATCATGTGACCTTGGAAGCAGGTCCTTCCCTAGGAAAGTGCTGAGATGAGTCTGCAGCCTTGTGAGGAACCTTGGAGCAGAGGACCCAGCTGAGCCACGCATAGATTTTCTGCCCATAGCAATTGTGAGATGACAAATGTGTGTTGTTTTAAGCAAATTTGTAGTAATCTGTTACGCAGCAATAAAAAGCTAGTACAATAGCCATTACTCCCTGGAGCTTTATTATGCCTCTTTGTAACCCACCACACCTGTTCCCCCCCCGACTCCATCTCCAGGTAACCACTGATCTGTTTTCTGCCACTGTAATCTAATCATCTGGGGTTTTATATAGATGGGCTCAAACAGGATATACTTTTACTAAAGAGAGTGGTTTCTTTCACTGGTGATACTTTTGAGATTCATCCATGTTGCCGCATGTTTGCCTCCTGTTATTGCTGAGTAGTGTTCCATTATTTGGATATGCCACCATTTATTTATCCATTCACTTCTCCGTGAATGTTTGGGTTGTTTCCACGTTAAGGCTCCTATTAGTTTTCTTGTTCCTGCTGTAACAAATAATCATAAACTTAATGGCCTAAAACGACACAAATTCATTCTTTTACTAGAGATCAAAAGTACCAAATGAGTCCTGCAGGGCTAAAATTAAAATGTTGACAGGCTCCAGGGATGAATCTGTTCCTTGCCTCCTCCAGTGTCTGGGCACTGCTGTTTCGTGGTTTGTGGCCACATCACTGCAACGTCTTGTTTCCTTGGTCACATTTCCTGAAACTGACTCCTCCTGCCTCCCTGTTCTAAGAACCCACGTGACTCCATTGGGCCTACCCAGATAATCCAGGATAACCTTCCCCTCTCAAATGCTTTAACCTAGTCACATCTGCAAAGTTGCTTTTCTTGTATAAGATAACATACTTAGATTCCAAGGATTAGAATGTGGACATATATTTTCAGGGCAATTAAAAATAAAGCTGGTATAAAATTTTACATATAAGTCTTTGTGTAGACACATTCTTCATTTCTCTTGGGTAAATATCCATACATGTAATGGCTGGGTCATATGGTAGATGTATGTTTAAGTATTTTAGAAACCAACAAACTGTTTTCCAAAGTGACTGAATTATTTTATATACCTGCCATGAATGTATGAAAGTTCCAGATGTTTAAAATCCTCACCAACACTTGATATGGTCAGTCTTTTCAATTTTATCCATTCTATGGGGTGTGTAGTAATATCTCTTTGTGATTTTAAATGCATTTGCCTATTGACTGATGATACTGAACATCTTCTCATGTGCTTATTTTGCCATCCATATATCTTCTTTGATGAATTGTCTCTTCAAATCTTTCCCCATCTTTTAATTGGGTTGTTTGTCTTCTTAGTGAGTAAGCGTTCTTTATATTTTCTAGTTACAAGTCTTTTTTTTATTGTATGTTTTGCAAATCTTTTCTCCTAGTCTGTGGCTTGCTTTTTATTTTTGTAACAATGTCATTTGAAGAGCAGAAATTTAAAATTTTCTTATTGACAGAATAATTCCCTGCCCCAAAGATTTCTACAACTGAATCCTTGGGACCTGTGAATATATTATCACTCGTGGCAAAGACGAATTAAGGTTGCAGATGGAATTAAGATTGTTAATCTGCTGAACTTAAAATAGGGAGATTAGTCTGGATGATATGGGTGGGCCCAAAGTAGTCACAAATGTCCTGAAAAGCAAAAGAAGAAGGAGGAAGAGGAGGTCAGAATGATGCAACGTGAAAAGGACTCAACGAGCCATTGTTGGCTTTGAAGAGGGAGGAAGAGGGTCACAGCCAAGGAATGTAGGAAGCCTATAGAACCTGGAAAAGGTAAGGACATAGATTCTCCCCTATAGCCTCTAGAAAGGAATTTCGCCCTGCTAACACCTTGACTTTTAGCCTAGGGAGATACATGTTACACTTCTGACCTATAGACCTGTAAGATAATAAATTTACGAGGTTTTTTAATGTCACTAAGTTTGTAGTAATTTCTGACAACATCAACAGATGACTAATACAACTTCAATAATGTCCAATGTATTTATATTTAAATTAAACATTTTTATTCATTTTTTTTTTTTTTAGAGACAAGGTCTCGCTCTGTCACCCAGGCTGGAATGCAGTGGTGTGACCTCCTCTTTCTCCTTCTTCTTTTGCTTTTCAGGATATTTGTGACTACTTTGGGCCCACTCAGATCATCCAGGATAATATCCCTATTTAAAGGTCAGTGGTGTGACAGTGGCTCACTGTAACCTCAAACTCTTGGGCTCAAGAGATTCTCCTGCCTCAGCCTCCCAAGTAGCCAGGACTATAGGTGTGCACCATCACACCTGTCTAATTTTTTTTTTGGTAGAGATGGAGTCTCAATATGTTGCCCTTGATAGTGTCAAACTCCTGGTCTTAAGCAATTCTCCCATTTGGTTTTCCAAAATGCTGAGATTACAAGTGTAAGCCACAATGCCCAACCCAATCTTTCCTTCATAGTTTGTGTTGCTTCTGTTTGCTTAAGCTAAGGTCACTAAGATTTTCTCTTTTGTTTTCTTCCACAAATTTATACATTAGCTATTATATTTAGGTCTATGATCCACTTTGAGATAATTCTGTATATAATATGAAGTAATTTTTAATTTTTGCATTTGATTATTCAATGGTTCCAGCACCATTTGTTGAAAAGATTCCTTGTCTTCATTCAGTCATTTAGGTGCCTTTTTGGAAAATCAATTGGCCATGTATATGTGGCTCTATTTCTGGGTTCTACTCCACTGATTTAAATGCCTATATTTATGTAGATACCACACTGCCTTGCTTAATGTAGCTTGATAATTAATCTTGAAATTAGTTAGTATAAGTCTTCTTTGTTCTTATTTTTCCCGTCTATTTTGACTATTCTAGGTCTTTTCCATTTTCATACAAATTTCTACAGAAACACTACTGGGATTTTGATTGGGATTGTGTAAAATTTTATTCTTCTCCAGGAATTAGCTTTTGCCTCCATTAATTAGGTAAATATGGGGAGAACTGACATCTTAACAATATTGACTCGTTGGATCCAGGAACATGAACTGTTTCTCCATTTGTTTAGGTTCTTTTTGAGTTTTTTCAACAATGTTTTAAACTTTTCAGTGTAAAATCCTTGCACATCTTTTATCAAATTTATTCTACGTTCTATTTTTGATGCCATTAAAATGGTATTTAAAATATTTCAATGTCCAATTTTTTATTGCTGGTATATAGAAATACACTTGTTTTCACCTTTGTCAAGCAATCTTGTTGAACTCACTTATAAGTTCTAGTAGTCTTTTCTGTAGATTCTCTAGGATTTTCTACATAGAAGATCATGTCATCTGAAAATAAAGACAGTTTACCACCAGTACCTTCTTTCCAATCTGTATGCCTCTCATTTCTTTTTCTTGTCTTATTGCATTGGCTAAGACCAAACTGTTGAATTTATTGCCATAAAGTTGTCACAATATTCCCTATTGCCATTTTAAGGTCTGTAGGATCCGTGCTGCTGCCCTCTTCCTCACTCTTGATATTGATCATTTGTGTCTTCTCTATTTTTTCCCTGATCAATCTGGTTAGAGATTTATCTATTTTATTCATTTCCTCCAGGAATTAGCTTTTGACTCCATTAATTTTTCTCTATTTTTAAAAGTTTAATTATTTTCTGCTCTTATCTTTTTTTCCTTTTTAGGCTTTAAGTTAATTTGTACTTTTTCATAATTCTGCAAAGTTGAAGCTGAGTAATTGAAATTAAATATGATTTTACTTCTCCAATATTAATGTTTAATGATACAAATTTTCCTCTAAACACCCTGTAGCTACACTCCATGTAATTTTATATGTTATTTTTTTTTTTTAAAAAAAAAGACATTTATTCAGCGTCACGATCAGACTATTACATTTAGCAATCAACAGCATGGGTGCAAAAAAAAAAAAAAAAAGAAAAAGAAAAAATCTACATTAAAACCCTTCGTTGGAATGCTTTACACTTTCCACAGAACAGAAACTAAAATAACCTGTTATATAATTAGTCACAAATACAGTCCTCGAGTTTTTTGCCCATACACATATTTGTCTAAATCATGTCTTTGTAGCAGCTAGGCCCTGCCACCCCTGTGCTTGGCTGAGTTCACAAATCTGTTGTAACCTGTAGCTTCCCTGTCACTTCTCTGGCTCTCTTCTCCTGCTAAGCTTTGTTTCCTAATTAAAATCTTCTGCCACTGCCATAGCTGCTGCTGCTACTGGAACCGCCACAGCCTCCTTGGTTTCGTGGTTTGGAAAGTATTGGCCGCCACCACCATAGGGGCCAGAGCTTCTGCCTCCAAAGTTTCCTCCCCTCATGGGTCCAAAATTTGAAGACTGATTGTTGTAACTGCCAAAATCATTGTAGCTTCCACCACCTCCAAAATTGCCTCCATCATTACCAAATCCATTATAGCCATCCCCACTGCCACCATATCCACCACCACCATGGCTGCCACCAAAGCCACCACGATCACTGAAGTTTCCTCCATGACCAAAGTTGTCATTCCCACCGAAACCACCTCCACAACCACCACCAAAGTTTCCAGAACTACTTCGACCTCTTTGGCTGGATGAAGCACTAGCCAGCTCTTGCTCTGACAGGGCTTTCCTAACTTCACAGCCGTGGCCATTCACAGTTTGGTATTTCTGAATGACAGTCTTATCCACGGAGTCATGGTCGTCAAAGGTTACAAAGGCAAAGCCCCTTTTCTTGCCACTGCCTCTGTCCGTCATGATTTCAATCACTTCCATTTTTCCATACTGTTCAAAATAATCTCTTAGGTGATGTTCTTCAATGTCTTCTTTAATGCCACCAACGAATATTTTTTCACAGTTAAGTGGGCACCTGGTCTTTGAGAATCTTCTCTTGAGACAGCTCTTTGGTTCCACAACTCTTCCATCCACTTTGTGTGGCCTTGCATTCATGGCTGCATCCACCTCCTCCACAGTTGCATACGTGAGGAACCCAAAGCCCTGGAGCGCTTGGTGTTTGGATCTCTCATGTTTCCCATTGCTCAAAATGGCTCCCCAGGCGCTCATCGGTTGTTTCAAAACTCAACCCTCCAATGAAAAGCTTCCTCAGCTGTTCCAGCTCTTTAGGAGACTCTGACTTAGACATGATCGCAGGGAGAAGAGAGACTTTAACGATGCTGCTTTGGCGGCGGCCATGGGCAGAAAGGAGCAAACTGACGAACGTATCTCTATATGTTATGTTTTGTTCAGATTAAAGTATTTTCTAATTTCCCCTGTGAGTTTTTCTTTGATATATGGCTTTTTAAAAAGCGTGTTGCTTAGTTTCCAAATACTTGGGAATTTTTTTGATATCTTTCTATTATTCCTAACTAAATTCTCTTGTGAACAGAGAATATATTTTGCATATTTGAATCATTTAAAATTTACTGATGTATTTGAATTATTTAAGATTTATTGTAACTCACTTTATGGCCCAGAGGTCTATCTTAGTGTTTCATGAACACTAGAAAAAAAATATGCATTCTGTTGCTACATGGCAGAGTTTTCTCAAAATGTTGGTCAGGTCCAATTGGTTAGAAGGGTTTCTCAATATATGATATCCTTGCTATTTTCTGTCTATTTATTCTATCAATTATTGAAATCAGAATGATGAAATCCCCAACTATAACTGTGGGTTTTTCTATTTTTTTTCTTATATTTCTATCAGATTTTCCTTTATGTATTTTGAAGCTATGGTATTAGGTGCATAAATATTTTTGGATTATTGTGCCATCTTGAAGATGCACCTTTATCATCATGAAATGACTCTTATTATTCCTGATGCTATCTCTTGTTCTGAAATCTGCTTTGTCTGATATTAGCGTAGTCAGTACAACTTTCCTTTGATTAGTATTAGCCTGGTATATCATTTCTATCCTTTTACTTTTAATCTGCCTTTGTTTTTATTTTATTTATTTATTTAGGAGTTGAAGATCTCACTATGTTACTCAGACTGGCCTTGAACTCCTGGGCTTAAGGGATCCTCCTGTCTCGGCCTCCTGAGTAGCAGAGACTACAGGCTCAAGCCACTATACTTAGGTTTGTCTTTGCCTTTATATTTAACTTGGGTATCTTAGAAACAGAAAATAATTGAGCCTTGCTTTTTTTAAAAAAATTCCAGTCGACCAGATGCAGTGGCTCACGCATGTGGGCAGATCACTTGAGGTCGGGAGTTCGAAACCAGCCTGGCCAACATGGTGAATCCCTATCTCTATTAAAAATACAAAAAATTAGCTGGGCGTGGTGGCACACATCTGTAATCCCAGCTACTCGGGAGGCTGAAGCTAGAGAATAACTGGAACCTGGGAGGTGGAGGTTGCTGTGGGCGAAGATCTCACCACTGCATTCCAGCCTGGGAGACAGAGGGAGATTCCATCTCAAAAAAAGAGTCCAATCTGACAATCTGTGCCTTTTGATTAGAGTGTTAACACTAATTACATTTTATATGATTATTAATATAGTTGGGTTGTTTCCTATTTATTCCATTTTTTCTTAATTTCCTTTTTCCTTTTTTGTGTCTTCTTATTGGTTAATAATTTCTAAGATTCTATTTTACTTTTTTTTTTTTTTTTTTGGAGATGAAATTTTTGCTTTTGTTGCCCAGGCTGGAGTGCAATGGTGCAATCCTGACTCACTGCAACCTTCACCTCCCGGGTTCAAGCAATTCTCCTGTCTCAGCCTCCCGAGTAGCTGGAACTACAGGTGCATGCCATCACTCCATGATAATTTTTGTATTTTTAGTACAGACAGGGTTTCATCATATTGGTCAGGGTGATCTCAAACTCTTGACCTCAGATGATCCACCTGCCTTGGCCTCCCAAGGTGCTGGGATTACAAGCTTGAGCTACCACACCCAGCCCTTTGTCTTCTCTATTAGTATATTAGTAATACCTCTTTGTTGCTTTAGAGTTTATAGTACACATCTTTAACTTATACAGTTTGCTTTCTCTTTCTTTCTCTCTCTTTCTTTCATTCTTTTGAGATGAAGTCTCCCTCTGTCACCTAGGCTGGAATGCAATGGCCTGATCTCAGCTCACTACAACCTCCACCTCCTCCACCTCCTGGGTTCAAGCAATGCTTCAGCCTCAGCCTCCTGAGTAGCTGGATTACAGGCACCCACCACTATGCTCAGCTAATTTTTGTAGTTTTAGTAGAGACAAGGTTTTACCATGTTGGTCAGGTTGGTCTCGAACTTCTGACCTCAAGTGATTTGCCTGTCTTGGCCTCCCAAAGTGCTGGGATTACAGGCGTGAGCCACCACAACCTGCCTACAGTCTACTTTCAAGTAATATTTTACCACTTCATGTAAAATATAAGCTTCTTGCAATAATATATTTATGTTTCTTCTCTCCCAGATTTTGTGCTATTGTTGCCCCACATTTTGTTTCTACATATGTTGTATGTAAGCCTCACAATGCATTACTGTTATTTTTGCCTTAAACAACAAGTTATCTCTTATGGATATTTAAATTAAATTTTAAAAAATCTTTATTTACATATTTACCATTTCCAGAAATTTCTTTTATTTTTTGGTATAAATCCAAATATCCATCTGGCATCATTTTCCTTTTGTACAAAAGAAACTTCCTTTAATGCTTCTTAAAGTTCTGCTGTTGGTTTTCTCTTGCTGCTTTTGGACATTCTCTTTAATGCTAGTTTTAAAAATTGGATTATGATGTGTCTTGATGTAGTTTTCTTCATGGTTTTTTTTTTTCTGCTTCGGGGTTCATTGAGCTCCTTGGATCGGCAGGTTTATAGTTTTGTCGAATTCAGAAAAGTTTTAGTCATTCTTTCTTTAAATATTTTTTTCTGCTCCCTCTTCTGGACTCTGACGGCATGTAGGTTCGGCAGCCTGATGCTGTCCCTCAGCTTACTGATGCTCTGTTGATTTCTTTTTTCCAGACTTCTTGGCGTTACATTGTGAATTGTTTCTACTGATTTACCTACGAGTTTTCTAGTCTTTTCTTCTGGAGTGTCTAAGATGCTGTTCATCTCAGCCAGTATTTCTTCATCTGTAAGTTTCAATTCGGTCTTTTATGTCCTCCATATCTCTCCTTATCATGCTCATGCATTCTTCTGCTTTTGTGAACACATGGAGTATATTTATCATCACTTTTTAATATTCTGCTCCACATAATTCTAGCATCTGTGTCATTCTGTTTCAATCAATTTATTTTTCTTATTCTGGGTCATATTTTCTTTTTTGTTTTGTTTTGTTTTGAAACAGGGTCTCGCTCTGTCACCAGGCTGGGGTGCAGTGGCATGATCTCGGCTCATTGCAACCTCTGCCTCCTGGGTTCAAGTGATTCTCCCACCTCAACATCCCAAGTAGCTGGGGCTACTGGTGTGTGCCACCCCGCCCGGCTAATTTTTTTTTTTTTTTTTTTTGTAGAAACAGGGTTTTACCACGTTGCCCAGGCTGGTCTTGAATTTCTGAGCTCAAGCAATCCACCCGCCTTGGCCTCCCAAAGTCCTGGGATTACAGGTGTGAACCACCATGCCTGGCCCTCTGGGTCATATTTTCCTGCCTCTTTGCATGCCTGTTAAGGTTTGATTGGATGCTAAATGTGGCTGGAAAGGCCACTCATGATCAGTTACTTCTATGAATTCTCTGACTTCATCTCTGCTTTTTGTTTGTTTGTTTTGAGGTGGAGTCTCTCCCTCTCACCCAGGCTGGAGTGCAATGGCACAATATTGGCTCACTGCAACCTCCTCCTCCTGGGTTCGAGTGATTCGAGTGATTTGAGTGTCTCAGCCTCCCGAGTAGCTGGGATTACAGGCACCCGCCATCATGCCTGGCTAATTTTTCTACTTTTGTAGAGATGGGGGTTTCACCATGTTGGCCAGGCTGGTCTCAAACTCCTGATCTCAGGTGATCTGCCCACCTTGGCCTCCCAAAGTGCTGGGATTGCAGGCGTGAGCCACATTCCCGGCCCCTTTATTTATTTTAAAACTTATTGTGTATATTTAAGGTATACAACATGATGTTATGGGATACACATAGATCGTGAAATATTTACCATAGCAAAGCAAATGAACACCTCTGTCACCTCCCTCCAAAGTTTCCCATTTTTGTTGTTTCTGAGGCAAGAGCAGCTAAAATCTATTCTTTTAGCAGGAATCCCAAGTACAGGGCAATTTTGTGACCTACAGCTGTCATGGTGTACATTAGATCTCTCCACTTGCTCACCTACACACCTGTTACTTTGTATCCTCTGACCTACATCTCCCTATTTCTTCCTCCCACTCCTCCCCCACCTGCTGCCACCCCAATAACTGCTGTTCTATTATCTGCGTCTGCACAGTTGACTTTGTTTTTAGATTCCATATGTAAATAACATCATGCACAACTTTTTTTTTTTCCTGTCTAACTCATTTCACCAAGCATAATATCTTCCAGGTTAATCCATGTTGTGCAAGGTGACAGGACCTTCTTTTAAAAGGCTGAATAATATTCCATTGTATACACATGCCACAGTTTTCAAAATCCATTCCTCCATTGACACTTGGGTGGTTCCATATCTTGGCTATTGTGAAGAATATTGCAATGAACATAAGAGTGCAGTAGAACATAAGAGTCCAAAAATAAAATAAAAAGGAAAATATGACCCAGAGGGCCAGGCATGGTGGTTCACACCTGTAATCCCAGGACTTTGGGAGGCCAAGGCGGGTGGATTGCTTGAGCTCAGAAATTCAAGACCAGCCTGGGCAACGTGGTAAAACCCTGTATCTACCTGTTTGGTGGTTATTTCATTTTGTGGGGGTATACTCACAGAACAGAGATTGCTGGTCTCATGGTAGTTTTGTTTTCCATTTCTTTAGAATTCTCCATACTGTTTTCTATAATGGTTGCACCAAATTGACACTCCCACCAACAGTGTACAAGACGTCCCTTTTCTCCACACCCCCACTATTTGTTATCTTTTGGCTTTTTTATAATAGTCATCCTAAAGGGTCCAAAATGATACTTCATAGTGGTTTGGTTCACATTTTCCTGATGAATAATGATGTCGAGCACCTTTTTTTTTTTTTTTTTGTCAAGCATCTTTTCATACATATACACCTGTTGGCCATTTTTATACCTTCTTTGGAGAAGTGTCCTTTGCTCATTTTTAAATGTGTTATTTGTTTTTCTATAATTGAGTTGTATGAGTACTTCAAACATTTTGAATATTATTAACCCCTTGTCAGATACATGGTTTGCAAAATTTTTCCCAGTCCATAAGTTGCTATTCTGTTTTGATTGTTTCCTTTGTCGTGCAGAAGCTTTTCAGTTTGATGGAGCCCCATTTATTTATTTTTGCTTTTGTAGCCAGAGTTGCTGTGATCTCCAAAAAATCATTGCCAGCTGGATGTAGTGGCTCATACCTATAATCCCAGCACTTTGGGATGTGAGGTGGGAGGATCACTTGAGTCCAGAGGTTCGAGATCAGCTTGGGCAACATAGTGAGACCCTGTCTCTACCAAAAAGAAAAAAGTAAAAAATCATTGCCAAGGCCATTATCCAGAAAGATTTCTATTTGTATTTTTTTCTGAGAATTCTTTTGGCTATTTGGGGTCATTTGTTGTTCTGTATGAATTGTAGGATTCTTTTTCTAATTCTATGAAGAATGCCATTGGGATTTTGATAGGAATTGTGTCGAGTCTGTATATTGCTTTGAGTAATAACGACATTTTAACAATATTAATTCTTCTGATCCATGAGCACAGAATATCTTTCCATTTGTTTATATCTTTTTCAATTTTATTCATTCATGCTTTATAGAGATCTTTTATCTCCTTGGTTAAATCTTTTTCTTCCAAGTATTTTATTTTATTTTTGATGCTATCACAAATAAAATTGTATTTCTTATCTGTTTTTCAGCTAGGTGATTATTTGTGTATAAAAATGCTACTGATTGCGGCCAGGTGTAGTGGCTCACTCCTGTAATCCCAGCACTTTGGTGGGTGTATCACCTGAGGTCAGGAGTTCAAGACTGGCCTGGCCAACATGGTGAAACCCTGTGTCTACCAAAAAACATAAAAGTTAGCCAGCCGTGGTGACACGTGCCTGTAATCCCAGCTACTTGGGAGGCTGAGGCAGGAGAATCACTTGAACTTTCGAGGCAGAGGTTCAAGTGAGCCAAGATTGTGACACTGCACTCCAGCCTGGGAGACAGGGTGAGACTCCATCTCAAAAAAAAGAAAAAACAAAAAAAATGCTACTGATTTTAAAAAGTGTTCGAAATACATTTATTTTCTAAATCACCTGAGGTTGACTTACATAAGATAATTTCAACAAATAAAATGTTTAATGAAAAATTGAGGTATGCAATGTACTTATGTCATTCAAGTTGAGGAACAGATATTTTTAAAATTAACTGTAGGTTTTAGAAAAACGCTTATTATACAGTACTACCAAAATAAAAATGGATTCCTAAGCACAGCTCAAGGACCCAGTGAAGTATTAAGAGGTGAACTGTAATTTGTTTTCAGTCATATTCCGAAAATGTAATGTGTTTACTTGCTGGCTGAGTCTTTACCAGTTTAATCTTTTTGGCTTTATTGATTAACTTTTTAGTCCCTCTTTCTTTTCCCTAGATGATTACTTTGGACTTATCCATCAACAAAAACCTTCTGCTAGTACCTTGTCTGTAATCACCAGAAAAGCCCTTGAGTTTCCAGCAGTGTTTCTTTTTAATTTCTGTAAGTATATTTATTACTGCTTGAGATCCTCAGGGGTTTTGAATCTAGCCTGGCATTCTGTATCTCCTTCCAGCAAATTAACATGAACAACTTCTGAGATCTCTGCCAAAGTATTCTATACAAAAGCATTTACAGCTTTAAAATTGGGTAAAAACCAGCCAGGAGTGGTGGCTCACGCCTGTAATCCCAGCACTTTGGGAGGCCGAGGCAGGTGGATCACTTGAGGACAGGAGTTCGAGATCAGCCTGAGCAACATGGTGAAACTTCATCTCTACTAAAAATACAAAAGTTAGCCATGCATCGGCAACGCACACCTGTAGTCCCAGATACTCTGGAGGCTGAGGCAGGAGAATCGCTTGAACCCAGGAGGCAGAGGTTGCAGTAATCTGAGATCATGCCACGGCACTCCAGCCTGGGCCAGAGAGCAAGACTCAGTCTCAAACAAAGAAGGGAGAGTAAAAATGGTTGTTTGTTTGTTTGAGACAGAGTCTCACTCTGTCACCCAGGCTGGAGTGCAGTGGCGTGATCTTGGCTCACTGAACCTCCACCTCCCTGGTTCAAACAATTCCCCTGCTTCAGCCTCCCAAGTAGCTGGGACTACAGTCACGTGCCACCACACCCAGCTAATTTCTGTAGTTTTAATAGAGATGGGGTTTCACCATGTTGGCCAGGCTGGTCTCGAACTCCTGACCTCAGGTGATCCACCCGCCTTGGCCTCCCAAAGTTCAGGGGTTAGTGAGCCACCTGCACCCAGCCTTGTTTGACTTTTTATAGCAATTCATGGAAACTGAAGTTTCACTGAAGCTACAAGCATCACGGGGTTTTGCATAGTTCATGAGCTCTTACTTTCTGATAATATACCTAAGTAACCTCTTCTAAACCTTCAAAGTGCTACTGATTTTTGTATGTTGATTTCTTATCCTGGAAATGTACTGAATTCATTTATATGTTCTGACAGGTCAAAAAAAAATCTTTGGGATTTTTTACATATAGGATCATGACATCTGAAAATAAAGATAAATTTGTTTCTTTCTTTACAATTTGGATGCCTTTTACTTTCTTTTCTTATCTGATTGCTCTTGTAAGTACTCCCAGTACTATGGTGAATAGAAGGGGAGACAGCCAGCCTCCTTGTCTTGTTCAAGATCCTAGAGGAAAAGCTTTCAGTTTTCCCCCATTGATTAAAATGTTAGCTGTAGATTTTTTTTATGTGGTCTTTATTATGTTGAGGAACTTTTCATCTATCCCTAAACTATTGTGAGTGTTTATCAAGAAAGGATGTTGGACTTTATTGGACACTTTCCACGTCAGTTAAGATGGTCATGTCCAGCACAATCCTTACAGTCACATCTGTGTACCAGACACCCCCCGGGCCATTTCAGTCCTTGCCCTCTAGCAGGGCACGGTGCAATGCAGGAGGTTTCAGAGAGCTTCCAACCAGATGGGATGTGCATGTGCATGTACATGTATCTGTGTGCATAGAAATGATGACCACAAAAAAAAGACAAGTGGGCCGGGCACAGTGGCTCACACCTGTAATCCCAGCACTTTGGTCTTGAACTCCTGACCTTAGGTGATCCACCCATCTCAGCCTCCCAAAGTGCTAGGATTACAGGCGTGAGCCACAGTGCCCGGCTAATCCCAGCACTTTGGGAGGCTGAGGCAGGAGGATCATGAGGTCAAGGGATCGAGATCATTCTGGACAACATGGTGAAACCCTGTCTCTACTAAAAATATGAAAATTAGCTGGGTGTGGTGGAGCACGCTTGCAGTCTCAGCTACTCGGGAGGCTGAGGTAGGAGAATCGCTTGAACCCGGGAGGCGGAGGTTGCAACGAGCTGAGATCGAGCCATTGTACTCCAGCCTGGCGACAGAGCAAGACTCCATCTCAAGAAAAAAAAAAAAAAAAGCAATACAGGAACACATCTAATGAGCACATGCTATAGGGATGCTGGAGAGAAGAGGCCAACTCAGGGATGGAAGGCAGGGACACCCTCTCTGAGCACTGGGACTGACGGATTCAACATCTGTAATTCATAGCCCATCAATCTTGGAGGGTCCTGTGCTCTGACCCTTTTGAAAATGACCTTCCTATCTGATAGCTGAGCCCTTCTCCTTGGAGGCCTAGGGCAGAAAGGTTTCTCTGAGAGACATATGCTGGTGCCCTGCAGCCAGCATGATGGATGAGGAGGCCCAGAGCTGCTCAGGTCAGCTGAGGCCAGTGGGGCTGAGTGGGGAGGGAAATATAGCAGCAAATCCAGGTCTGCATATAGAGAGTGCCCAAGGCCAAAGGCTAGAGCCCTGGGTAGCACTGAGCATGTAAGCGGTGGCTTAACAAGCACAGCTCATGAAGGAAACAGGGAAGGAACTGTCAGAGAAAGTTGGAGAACACAAGCAGCGCAATGAGTCATGGAAGCCAGAAGGGAAGACAGCTTCACCAGGACAGAGGGGACGCCAGTGGTGCCTGCAGAGTCTTCCACAGAGGCCCCTGTTATGGAGCGTGGAAATGTGCCCTGTGAATCTCATCATTAAGAGGTCCTTGGAGAACCTGGGGAGAGCAGTATCAGTGAGAGGAGGAGGCAAAAACCAGGTTTCCATGGCTGAGCAACAAATAGAAAGTGAAGAAGGGATACTAGAAGTCAGACTGTCAGATTTAGCAAATCAAAATACAGGATGTTCAATCTGAATTCATCTGACATTTGAATTTCAGATAAACAACGAATAACTTTTCAGTATAATAAGTGTGTCCCAAATATTGCATGGGACATACATAAACTAAAATAATTATTTGTCATTTATCTGACATTAAAGTTCAAGTAGGCATCCTGTATTTTATGTGGCAGTTCTCCAGGGTAGCACGTAGCCTTTTCTCCCAAACAACCTGTCTGGGAAGAAGAGCTGATCGCTAGAGCCATAACCAGAAAGGGACCCCAGTCAGTGGAGAGTTGTATTTAGGGTGGGATCATCTAAGCACGTAGCCCAGACAGCGCTTTCTGTAGCCTGTTTTTAGGCCAAAGAGAAAGAAGGAGAGGCAGACACAGCTGGGAGAATGCTGGATTATTGAAACCATGGGCCTCTAGTCAGCATCAGCAATCATTTCACTGGATCCACTCACAAAAAAGCAGGAAGTCCCTTCCCAGCACTCCATTCCACAAAAGGCTCAGAAAAAATGCAAGTTTCCAACATTGATTTGCAAGTGTATTGCTGCTACTTTGAAACCTCAGAATTGTGGATTTTATGCAAACTCCACCCAGTAGATTTTTGTTTCTTTTGTTCTTTTTCTTTGTGTTTTAGTGGACCACCATAGCTGAAAATATTTTGCTAAGTAGAGCAATCCACTTTGCCAACATCAACATTTCTTAAAACTCCCTCACCAGCTAGAACCATTTTTAATAGCTGGATTCCATTACCAGTTCAGGCCACAAGCCTGGGCCTTTCAAAGTGAATGAATCAGATTAGTGCTGAAATTGAGCTCCTCCTTCCTCTTTTCTATTTTTATTCTTCCTCCTAAGGGTGAAGTTATCAAAGCCTCTTTTGATGATGAAATAATTGTATCACTGAATCATCACATGACATAGTCGACAGCTGTTTTTCTCCCTCCTCACAGCAGTTTCCAGGGTCACATCTGGCTTGAGAAACTGGAAGTCTGGTGTCCTTTGATTTTTGTTCCTTTTCCTCTAATCCCTTAGAGTTCTGCCAGATTGGTAGCCTTCATTAGTGTTTCATTTTTATGTTCGTGAGACAACAAGGCAGACGATGTTTCTTGCCCCTTTCCACAAATGCTAACTTCAAGTCTTGTTTTGTTTTAGTTCATTTTTGAGGCAAAGTCCAGCCCATCAAGTCGAATTCTTTGCTCAGTTTAAGCCATGTAGACCCCACAGCAGAAGCAGCGCTGTGGCTTCCGCTGTCCTTCCTAAGAATGTCCCTGGCTGCTAACTGTTTGGATGTTCCCTTCCTTCACAAGGGACTTTGAGACTGTTAATAAGAAATAAATGACATCAGGCTACACGAATTTCCCTTCTCTTAAATTGCTTGTGCTATGTTAGTTTCACGGCAAGAGTTTGCCGGCTTGGTTTTAAAGAGAGCACCAAAGGACTGCCTTCAATACTACCTGTTCTGTTTCTAATCTGCTCCAGGATTCAACAGAGTCCACATAAGGTGGAGGAGAATTGCTTTGAACAGATGTCCTCAAGATAGTGCGTAGTTTTGCCTTTGATTTTCTCATTTATGGTGCTCAGGCTAGAGCTTGGTCTTCTTTGGTGCCTGAGATTCAGGATTGGGCAGGAGGAGGCTCTGTTTGGGATCTGCTTTCAAATACAATATCTCTATCAACTGTTAAGTAATTTAGGATTCTCTCTCTAGATTGTACTTATCCCAAGAGATAGACAAGTGCAGAATGGGGTGTAGCTAAAACTGGGGCCATGGCAGGACAGGAAAGGAAAGTTTCTTTATGGATCAAAATGCCTCCAGACTTAAACAGGCATGTTACCAACAGGCCCCTTTGGGGTGATGGCTCTCCCTCTGCTAGGCTGGCCAGGGAACCCGGATGGTCTGGCCTGATATCCGGAAGGACGTCTCCAAGAATGTGTGACTCAAGTCACCTCACCTGGAGGTTAAAGACCTTACACTCTTTAAGCCAGAAAGGACTTCGAAGACCCTGTAGTCCAGGGGATCCCAGACTTCTAATTTCACAGTCTATTACAAGTTGGAAATAAAATATCGTAAAAAGTAACAGGTTGTCAATAAGTTTTATTTTGACAATTGAGCAAATAAAATACTCCTGTCATTGTTTCAGAAAAGTACTTTTTAACATAAAAAATATGAAAGACTTATTCTCTTACTCCTCCCATAAAGGATATATATCCCTGTCCTTCCCCAGAAAGTCCGTATAAACTTACACTAACGGTACACAGATATACCGTGTTATATGTCTGCATGTGTATTAATATGTGTTCACATTATTGTCGTCCTCTGTAGTTTTTCCTTATTATATCACATGGGCAGCTGTAATGTAGTGATTTATACATGTAATGTACATGGACTCTGGGGCCAGGATACCTGAGTTCAAATCCAGGCTCTACTGCTTACCATCCGAAGACCTTCAGGAAAGTTACTTAACCTCTCTGAGCCTTGGTTTTATCATT